GGGGCACCTGATGTTTATGCTCTACCAGTAAGACTGGACATATACTGAGTTTGTGTGCCGTAAAACCCAAACAAACAAACAAAAACTTTTTACTATAAAACTTTTATATGATGTATATGATTAACTCTCAGTTTTGTATTTGTTTACGTGACTATCTATAATATTTATATGTGTGTTTACTATAAGTTTTACTACATGAATAAGATTTCTATATTTGTGTGCATGATTTACTTTAGGATTTGCATTTGTCTATATTATTTACTGTACAGATTTTACCATGAAAGTGCATGTAATTGATAAGGAGATTTGCTGCTATAATGACCATTTGAAATTTGTTGTTACTTATATGATGTTTTTCCCCTGAAACATATAATTATGATATGCAATGAAGTTGTTAAGACAAAGTACACGGTTTTGAAGAAAAGGCTGAGAAGCATGTTCAGGTGTCATTGGAGCTGTATGGTCATTCTATTTTAAGGTTTTCAAACAGCCTTATTGACACTTATAACCTAACTATAAAGAATAATCACTCTAAATGCCTCTTTATTCATAGCTAATTGTTTTAACCATGCAACAAGAAAACTTAAAGTTTTACACCTTAACCTGCGCTCAAACCTAGTTGGCAGAACCTAATGGACCTCAGTAAGAACAATCTTTGAGTGGACCATATGAAATTAGTTGTTTTGGTCTGCTTAACATTATATAAAATATATTTAAACTTTCAATCGATTTTTATATTTAGACCGTACGTTTCACCACGAGAAAGAATATATAATATAAACTTTTCTGTAATTGTTCTCCTTAAATGTTTAATATTTTTTCTTAAATGCTGATAAAACAATATAATTTGTTTGTCATACTCTAAATAATGATAAGAACAACCTCCAGCCGACATAGCTTGTTTTACCACTAGCCAGTTTAATGAAGCTTATTAGGAAATGTCATTGGATTTGTTTACAACAAATAGCTAGAGTCATTTTGTTCTGCTTAATGAAAGATCCAGCAAACTGAAACTATCATTTTAACAACATCTGGTAATTAACAATTGACTTTGATATAACTAAACAAGAATACTTTTCTTTTGTTCTTTTAACATAAATGGTTGGAAAAAGGATCATGTTGTCTACCAGACCTTAAAGTACAACATTGTTTTCCAAATGATTGAAATTAAAGTTTTCGGAGAGACTGGAAACAAATATGATTCTTGGAAAGTATTGTACAAAAAGGTTATTATTTGTACTGTTCATAACAGTTAACAGTTGTACTGTACAAAAACAGTTAACAATTGTACTATCTGCTGAGCGAAGGTACTTTCCTCTTGAGTCGTTAGCTCGGGTTGGAAATTAATTATTGAATTTTTGTTGCTGGAGTAAAAAAAATGATAAGTGTTTTCCTGGACATTATTTATCCAAGATTAACTGTATTTTATTATCATCATAATTATTATGTATAAAAACATATGATTTTGTATGTTTGCATAATGATTGTTTTAAGATAAGTATCTATAATAAATCAATAATTAGTGTTGACACAATGTTATTTGCTTTTATTATTCCACTGTTTACACCTATTTTCCATATATTTATGTCAAAATGACAGTTGCGTACCTTAAATGTTACCAGACCTATTTTCCTGTTCAGCACATTGAAAAGGTTATGTTTGGCTATTGGTTTTGTACTATTGTCATTTCTTTAAACAAAGTACAGTATCTCAAGGCATATAACAAAATTGTGCCCCTCTTATTTCCGTTTTAGCACTTTGAGAATAGGATAGCAATTTGGCAATATCTTAAATGCAACTGGTACCATTGACTTAAAATGTTACACACTTAATAACTACTGTATTGTACATGCTAATGACACGCCGTCCGGTCGGTTAGCTCAATAGGTGGAGCGTTTGACTGAACCGGGCGACTTTGGTTCGATTCCTGGACGGTACAAGATATTTTCGTTGTGCTTGATCATGAAATCCCTTTCTACGGTCATTCGCACTGTACCTCTGCTCTTGCATGTACTGAAGTAATCAGTCCTTAGAATATGAAGACAATTTGTATTGGTAAACTGCTGGACAATCTGCCCAGAAACGATGTGGCGGCAGAACTGTGCTCTGGTAAATTTAGTATTTCGTGGCCACCCAAACAAATAAAAACAAACAATAAAACAAAGAAAAAAACAATAGACGCATGCGCGGACATTAAACTCGTAGGTTTCAGGGGGTTCATTTTGAGACAACGTGTTTTTATTTTGCCTATGATTTAAAAAAAAAAGAATATCAAAACACTCTCGGCAATCTGAATACTAGTAATACTCGGGAGCTATGTCCCCGTGTACAAATCAGATTCTATTAAATATCCCGACAGACAGTGTGGAAACTGGAGTGCGGGTAACTAATACCTGCACTCCACAACAGAAAGGTCCCCAAACTATCATACAAATAAAGCATGCTCGTTGATTGGCAACATTTTTTCTGCAGTTTACTTATTGTGACGAAAGGGAAAGAGATAACGATAGAAAATCCATATACAGATGTTCGTAGACTGATTACTTTTTTTCTTGGGTTTCATATTGTGACTACTAGGAAAGTGTTTTCATTTTTGCCTATGATACAAAGGAGAAAAAAAACCCACCAAAACACGTCCCTCATACAAAATCAGATATGCTCTTTCTATTACTTTTATACACAGACACGCTAAAACAAATTTACTCAATTGCTTAAATATACAAAGAGTCATTCATTCGAAGACCGTTACAAATTATTATAAAAGCGCATGCAATTGTCGAAAGAACGCACTAAACCATTTAAAATGCACTTAAATTCATACATTTGTAAATGTTTATAATGCGGATATATTTTTTTTTAATTTAAAGGAAAGAAAGTAGAAATTTGATTCGAGTCCAATGTATTAATATTTGAATTTATATTTTGCCAAGGTCTTTCAAATAGAAAGACCTTGATTTAACGTATGAGTGTCCCATTAGCCCATGTATAAGGAAATGTTTTTGTATGTAACTATGAACTATAAATGTTCGAGGCAGACGAATAACTTTCTGTTCTGTTCCGGATTCATAACATTTACTAAACATAACATCATTTTTTATAATTTAACAAGCTTTTTACTAACACAGTTGATTTGCTTCTGATAAAACTAAATAATAAATACAGTGCACGGTAAAGACGAATCGTATGGATATTCTCAAGTTACAGTGTCGGACATTCGTGGCTCAAATCTTAATCATTAAACTCGAACTTGTTAAACAAGCCGTCATAAAGTTTACTGACCGATGGTTCTAGTGTATAAATCTCGTTCCACAAATAAGACTGAAATATTTTTGAATGATTATAATGCTAATGGTTTCCCTGGTTACCAGTACATTGACAGGCCAATGTAAGGTCAGATAAAAGCATTGTACATTGCTCCAGCACATTTGTCGATATATCCCTATTATCACATAAACTGCGGCGCAAGAGTGTAATAAAGCCATTTAATAAAAAGGATATTACACTAGTGTAATAACACTCTGACGTGACGTCATTTGCGCTATAAAGAAACATAGCGTTAAAGCGCGCTAATGTTAGCGTTACACTATGGGCGCGTCATTGAAAAATTACTCATTTTAACAGTTTACTGTTCTTAGTTTATATATGTGATAAAAAGAATATTATATTCGTGTAGATTCAATACTAAATTTATTGAACTCGTTGAATAAAACAATATTATGCTCGCCAGAGGCTCGCATAATATGATTTTATTCAACTCGTTCAATAAATTTAGTATTAAACTACACTCATTCAATATCCTCTATATATTATATGATAGAAAAAAGGGAATTTCTCCCTAAAACGCTTAAAACGGAAAAATTGAAAATATTAAAGACTTTTTTTAATTTAACATGTTCGTGGACAGTACAGAAAAGTACATGCGGCCGCTCATGCTCCCTAGCACCGGTTAAATAGAGGATATTGAATGAGTGTAGTTTAATACTAAATTTATTGAACGAGTTGCGCCGCAGTTTATGTGATAAAGCAGAATATCAAACATTTAACCTGGGATGATAAAAAAAATGATTTTAGAAACATCCATAGATGTGTTCATTAGACATTCCACATATAAAGTACTTCAAGTCCATTTCAAAAATTAGTGGGGTGTAGATTCAACAACATTTTTACATACTGCCATGGCTTTTCATAACCGGTCTTTGTCCAAAATACATTGACCTACTTTTTTATGTATTTGTAAACAAATCTTCTTGTCAAATAGAGCATGCTTTGTTTACAAAATATACCCTCGCAAAATTTTATGTTTAACTTTATACTTAAAATAGTATAAAATAACATTTAATATATTGACAGTTGTGAGAAATTAAACATAGAAGAAAAGACAATATTTACAAATAATTATTTTTTCACGTGGTAAACCAACTTAATAGATTAATGATATGTAAATGTATGTAAACCGTGAACTATATTAAACACTACAGCTAGCCTAGCTGTACGTTGATTGCTTTAAAGAATTACCTGTATAACGAAATTGCAGTGTTTGGTGTTTGTACCTTTTCCTGAACGGGATGGGATGTAAATTTTTAGTGACAGATATTCAAAACTTTTTATGAGAAGATGTGTGTCAAAGTTTCGAACTTGATTAACTGTTAACGTTTTAAAGTTACCCAGTTTGAATTTTTAACAGTTCAGTTTAAGGAATCTCAATACCAAAATATACGTGTATGTCATAACCTACCAACAGTATCGAGCCTGGTTAAACTGGACCGAAGACCCTACTGGACTGGCTCCTATACTAGTTGCAAAAGTTTATCACTTCCGGTTTCAGTCGGGTCAGCTAGGGTTCATTTGTTATGAAAGCCGGTTGTATTTATTTTAATTATGAGCCTAAAAAACGTTAACTATACATTTATAAAATTATTGCTACACGTGTGGTGGATATATTTTAACTGTTTAACTTAGTTACCTCGACAGTTCATGCTTCAATAAATATGAATGACTAAAAACGCGTCTGCTTTAATGAAATAAATACGTGTACCTTGATCTATTTTTTTTACGTTTATCAGTGAAGTATATAATTTATGCACTGATAAGAGTACTTTTATATTTTCAAGGTTAGTTTATTTTTTTTATTTTATTTTAAATCTAATAATTTTCTTTCTCTTTCATTGAGTGTGCATTGTAGATTTTGCAGTGTTTGAAAATAGCAGTAAATTCTTGGTCGACAAATCTCAATCTCAAATAAGTAAATAAATAAATAAATAAATAAATAAATAAATAAATAAATAAATAAATAAATATAATATAAATATTTCATACCACAAGATGACAAGAAAATTTGCATTTAGAGAAAAAAACTTGAATTGTCTGTTTTTTTATACACATGTAAAAAAAATTCTCTATTTTGACATTACACAACTTGAATTTAATATATAGGCTGAATTTGGAAGATGAAGTAAGGCAAGACACCAGTGAAAATACGGAAAATATTTTTTTCACTGCAAAATTACGGAATAATTATGGAAAAATAACTTTTTATTTCATCAATATGTCATGTATAAGTATATAATTATGTGGTGTTATTAACCTCATCGAAATGTAGAGTGCGTGTATTTTAACCACCGTTCGTTTGATGTAATACATTATTGCAGCATCTTCAGAAAACATAAAAAGCGGCATTATTTGTATACCAGCACTAGGCTAATGTTTTTTAAAACCTGTGTCAAAATGAGTTAGTTATTCAAACGGAGCTTAGAATAAGTAGAATAATAGGCGTTCATGTTATATGAATATAATTTATTTCAATATAATTCAAGACAAATTGAGTAAGCTAGTTTCATTTGTTTTGTTTTTTAAGGTAACTGAAATCTGGAATATTTTGCACAGAGTCAATGGCTACATCAGAAGAAAGGCTTGCCTTGTTTAAGGCGGAGTACCCTCACACAGATAATGTTTCCTTGACCGGGGCAGATCTGGGTGTGGTGGCCGGATACTTTGTTATCATCATTGCCATAGGAGTTGTGGTAAGTTGGAAAACATACAAATTGTAACAATTTTAGTTGTTTCATGGTAAAGCTTTCTTATAAAAGAAAGAAAGAGTTTGAATGTTAAAAGTTTTTGTGTAATACAAAAAAATACTTTCTATATAGTGTCATTTTTAATAAGTGATCTAGTTTTAGGGGTTTTCGGATCCAGATTTTTGCCTTCCCGATTTAGAATTGCTGTCTGTTTAATTTTGTTTGTAGTATTACCTTATTAAATGACATTAATTGAAACAAATTAAAGTGCATAACAAGGGGAAAGAGAAAAAAACATGTCTGCATATAAAGTGCAAAAACTGCATGGAGACAATAGTTTGTCATACTTACATAAATACAAATATTACAAGGTTTATGTTGAACGTGATTTGAATAAAGAAATGATATTTTAATTTACATAAGTGAAAAGAGATAAAGTTGAGCTTCAGGAGAAGTAAATAAAGCAACCATAATGAACGTTGAGATAATTAGAAAGTAGAGGTTACGGGTTGGGCGCGTTTTCGTTGCTTTTCATTTCAAGGTTGAATATTTTGATAATTGTGCGTTTCCCATGTTTAGGTTTAATATTGTAATTATAATAATGACTGATATTGCAGACGACACGCATTCCCACACAGCTTTCCGCATGTTACATTATTTGTTCTTTTAGTTCCGTTTGCCAATAGTCCATTTGGGTATTGTGAAAAACGTAGAAAGCCTCTCCACGAAGAAACCTTTTTATTCATTCTTTTTATAACAAATGAACCTTCTCATAATAAGTTATTACCTCCCCTTTTATTTCTATAGCACAACCTATGTATAGTTCTACGTCATCATTTTATTTCAGGCAATGTGCAGGTCTAATAGAAGCACAGTTGGTGGGTTCTTTCTCGCAGGAAGATCTATGTTCTTCTTACCTGTAAGTATGTTCATGATGTTGATGTACATGTATTTTAAATGGTGTTCTGGTAATAACTGACCATCGGTCATTCAGACAATAGTACATTATACAATGGAACAATTCTTGATGGTGCATACTTATCATAACTTTTAAAGATTTTTTCTAAATTTATAAAATAAAAATGTTGTTTAATAGTTAAAATATGACTGTGTATGACTGAAACAAAAATAGAGATGAAATGCTATATAAGTTTGATATTCATTAGAACTAACATCTGAAGTTGAGTTCTTGCAGTCAGGATAACGTTTATACGTCAAACCTGAAACAATTAACCATGATGGGGTTTCTTATTTTACTATTTTTATCTTTATTTTTGGCTTCTTTCAGATTGGTGCTTCACTGTTTGTCAGTAACATCGGAACTGAACATTTTATAGGTCTTTCCGGCTCGGGTGCTGCACAGGGTATTGGTGTTGGAGCATGGGAATTTAATGTAAGTAATCAGTACAATGCTTGAGAGAAATTGATACTTATGTATAGAATATATTATCAAAATAGAAATCCATGGAATACCAAACCGCCGAAATAGTGAGCGACTAGCATTAAAGTGTATATGTTTGCTGATGACATAACTTTATCAATTAACAACCATGAAGTCTTGCAAATTAACATCTTTGTGATAATAACACCTAATTCTGAAGTATATTATTAAACAAGGAGGGCACGTACAAAATATAAGGACATAAGCATAGAACACTTATTTTAATGCACTATTGAACATAATAAATGAAAAATTCCAATTTATTTTAGCCTATAATTCCATTACAATACTTTATTTTACCTTTCAATCGAAGGTATCTCTGGTTCGACCTGTATTTAGCTTAAGCAGAATTTTGTTAACAGTATATTTTATTGAAAGAAGGTAATGCGTCTTATTTCCGCCATGTCTTTATGTTATAATGGTGCCAGAATTCAAATGATTATCAAATATGATATAAGTTGTAATGTTATGACATGTTATTTAAATGAAACGTGTTATTTATTTTCAGGCAATCCTACTCTTACAGTTACTCGGCTGGATATTTATCCCCGTGTACATTGCATGTGGGGTAAGTTTCTTTTAATTTGTTGTTTTGTTTTGGTGCCGACGAAAACTTGAATTCGATGATAAGCTTTGTCGAGAAGTTATCAATCTGAAAAAAATATGTTGATATTATATTCTTGACCTTTTTTCAACTTAAGATAGTAAGAATACCTGAACCTCATTTAATATTCATGGCAAGCTAGATTTACATAAACAATCATGTAAAGTAAACATAGCACCTCCATCTATCTGGTTGGTCGACAAAATTGACAGATTGAATATGTAAATAGTTCATCATTATAAAAATATATTATCACTGGCCGATAATAATGAGAGTTCTTTTTGCAGATATTTCATGAGTTATATGAGCCGCGTCACGACAAAACCAACATAATGGGTTTGCGACCAGCATGGATCCAGACCAGCCTGCGCATCCGCGCAGTCTGATCAGGATCCATGCTGTTCGCTATCAGTTTCTCTACTTGTAATAGGGTTGGTTAGCAAACAGCATGGATCCTGATCAGACTGCGCGGATGCGCAGGCTGGTCTAGATCCATGCTGGTCGCAAACCTATTATGTTGGTTTTGTCGTGACGCGGCTCATATATTATTATTGTCAATTTCGTAATTAGACAAAAAAAATTAATTACAATCTTAATTTTCAGACGTACACGATGCCTGAATACCTTACAAAAAGATTTGGCGGTGAAAGGCTGCGGGTTTACTTTGCATTACTATCTCTAATTTTATATATATTCACAAAATGTTCTGTAAGTATTCGAAGTACAATTAGCCACTTCTTTTCCGCTGTAAAGCTTTATAATTTGAGGTTATTATTATACATTGTCGAGTGCATTACGGAATTCTATAAGAATAGTACACAGCTGTGAAACCTTTATAAATCGAGGCGTAAGACATCAAATATGTCTTGTTTATTTTGTGTCAAACAGGGACTAGATCTAGTTGTTCTCCGTCATTGGTAAACATAGTGAATTACTTAATAAACACCAAAGGCCCTGAATTTGCCATTTTTTACAAACGTTTATTCATAAAACTTGAGAAGGAAGTTACTTGATTGAGCTGTATATATAATGTAAAAATGAAGCCAGCGAGATAATGTTTAGATTGTCATCCCTCTGATTAACTTAAGTTATATCTAAATCAGACGTTTTGAGCAAATAAAACCAGTTATATCCCGTATGGAACAGAATTAATGCATTTATTCTATCTTGCTTGATGGCATCGGAACTTGCATTATGCTTAATTCCATCTTGCTTGATGACATTGGAACTTGCATTATGCTTGATTCCATCTTGTTTGATGACATTGGAACTTGCATTATGCTTAATTCTATCTTGCTACATGACATTAGAACTTGCATTATGCTTAATTCCATCTTGCTTTATGATATTTAAACTTTGCATTATACTGGATTCCATTTTTCATTATTTCATTCAAACATTTCGTAGTGACCAATTCTTTCATTGAGTGATAACTATTAAACTGGAACAAGCCATTTCGAATACTAAAATGTTAACGTCATATACCTTTATGTATAAGCTACCTTTCTTCATGTTCTATACGAACCATTTAAGGTTTAGTTTTTTTGTATTACTTTTATGTAGAAGTCATTTAAAATTGACTATTTTTTGTTCCCTGATGGATTTTGTTAAAATGTGACTTATTTGATTTATAGCTCGCATGGCGATATTACTATTAGCTTTCGCTTCTATCCATTATTGCTTAATAAAGCTCCGTGTCTGAGGCTTTGTGGATTATGTTTGATCATCTTACATTATGATAAACAATTTAAACTATGTCTAGCGATTTGTGAACTGTTAAGGGGCGAGAACTCTGTTATCGATATCAACGGAATTTTTCCACGATTCGCCTATCATCGGAACTTTCCGTATAGATACTGCGTACATGTATATATAAATACGTACTAAGCGCTTAATACATAAATTGCAGTTGAAAGAATATAAATACAAGTAGTAAAGGATTATGCAATATATTTTATATATGTATACAGTCTAATAGAAAAAATATGCTCGTAAACAGTTATTCAATGGGGCAGTTATACGTACAGTGGCGGATTCAGGCCCTGGCTTAAGGGCTGCACCTACCCCCAAATATACGTTCATGAGCTGGGACGGAATATATACGTGTCAGTTTCATGCAATAGTCTTCTTAGTGTACTCCCTTACCAAAACATATTATGCTGTCATCCAGTTGTTAAGCACCTGCCTTGGTACTGCGAAGGTCTTTATCTAATGGCTTGGACATTAAAAAGCAAACAGTATTGGCCTTTTAACTTAATAAATGTCTCAGAGTTACTAATAGTGGCGAATAGGTATGTAACACATTAAAATATACATGTATAATAAGGAAAGAAGGAAGTTGTTTATTTTTGTAACATGTGCATAGTCAATTACAATTGAGCCGCGTCATGACAAAACCAACATAATGGGTTTGCGACCAGCATGGATCCAGACCAGCCTGCGCGTCCGCGCGGTCTGATCAGGACCCTTGCTGTTCGCTATCAGTTTCTCTACTTGTAAAAGAGTTGGAAAGCGAACAGCATGGATCCTGATCAGACCGCGCGAACGCGCAGGCTGGTCTGGATCCATGCTGGTCGCAAACCCATTATGTTGGTTTTGTCGTGACGCGGCTCAAATGTTGGGCATATGTGTGTCTGATTATAGATCAGACATCCCGCACACACCATCACATTCACATACATTTGTGCTTAATGATATACTATGCACATCTTTCAGTAACATATTTTTATCACAGAAATTTATTAAAATCTATAAAATTCTCACTAAATATGTTTTATTTAAATAAAAACACATACACATGATGTATAGGGATCTGCTTTCCTTATTACGGGTCAAGTAAAGTTGTGCCTGTCTTTAAAAGAAACTTCCATATATTTTTTTTGTAATAACACTATACATGTATATTCATACTGCCCACTTACAGTGTAAAGGATTTAAAGCACAATATTTGTGTGAAGCCAAATTATATTTATTTTATTTTACAGAAAAAAAATCAAGTATGTACTGTACTAGGTCGTGGTCACGAGTTACTGATACTTGGCCACGAGATAGTTAAGTCGTGGGAACGAGGTACTATATCGTAGCCACGAGATACTATGTCACGGCCACGAGCTACTAAGTCGTTTAAGTCGTGGGAACGAGATAACTAAGTCGTGCAGACGAGATAATTAAATTAGATTACACCATGATTTTTTAAACTTAGAAAATTTCTGTTTAAAGATTTACGTGCAACATTAATCTTTGAAAATACTGAAGTGTTCACTTTGAACTTGATACATGTCTTAAGGATCATAAGGCCCATAAATCAGACATTAATTTGACTAAGTTATAGCCCTTTGTTGGGACAATTCTATGATAGAATTGGTCATTTTGTACGTACAACGGCCTCTTAACATTGTTTATAGGGACTTAGTCCTGGTTTGTTTTATTAGGTAGGGACATTGCCCATGGACAGTAGATATCCTAGAAGGATGTTTGAGGTCACGGGTCAGATAAACATGACACTTCATGTAAATTCCTTGTCTGATGAATGATTTAAAAAGAATAAGCCGTAGTGTATATAACCTTAAAAAGATCAGTAGATGACACCTAATAATTTTTGGTCAATTTGGTCAGAAATCAGGGTCACAATGACGCTAAATCTTTGACCAATCCATAACTTGTATAAATGGCACTTTTTCGGACAGGAGAAGTAGGATCCTCGTTAGGAAAATTCATATAAATAGTGTAATTTGATTGGTTATTTATCTCGTTCGCAAGACTTAACTTTCTCGTGGCCACGACTAAACTTTCTCGTGACTTGTTACAACGACTTGTTTATCTCGTGGCCACGACTTAGTAACTCGTGGCCACGACTTAGTCATATCGTTCCCATGACTTAACTATCTCGTGGCCACGACTTAGTAACCCGTGGCCACGACACCGTCTCTCGTGCGCACGAGATAAATAAAAACACACATGTCACCTTTGTGCCACCGTAAGTTTGAGCATAATATATCTTAAAATTCAATTTCACTATTGCTCATACGACTATCACACACGCTCAAGAAAAATGTAAACAATTGTATAAGAGGTGAGTTGCCACTTGTAGGATGAGTTATTAGAGACATCTATAACATTTTTTCCACATGCTGGCGGAATCTTCAAAAACACGCACTTTTCGTCTGTCGCATCGTGTTCTCTTGTTTTTCAGTAAATTTTCCCTTTACATGTCAGTCCCCAACTATACGCCCCTGTATAAAGGGGACGTAACTTTGTTGTGCGAAAATACGGGATCATCCGGAAAATAACGGGATGTACCGACAAAGCGACACCTGCTGTCATAATATGAACACAAATTATTGCAACTCGCGTTATGCTTACTGCCAACTGCTTAGTGCGTACTGTCACATGCGACTATAATAGAGATATCGTTGTCATCTTCGTTGTCGATGCGCAGTGATCATGTAATATTGCATTATATTTGTAATCAGTGAATATATTGAAGCATATGAATGCTAAGACACATCAAATTCGCCAATTATTGATCAAAATTAATAATTTATTGTGACATAATGTCGACAAAATATAAGTGGCAGATTTAAAGCAAAATTAAAGGTACTGACAGAAACTTACCACGTTACATATAGTTATATCAAGAACAAGCAAAGAATGTTATCTTAAACACCTTAGTCCTTTATAAAAGATGCAATTAAACATATAGCATTTTAAAATATGTCAGTTTGATGGTTTAGTAGGGAACACATAAGGTTGCAATTACATGAAAGTGCATTCAGTAATCATAAGGCATGATTGAATTCAGCAAAACGCAGGTTTCCATTGTCATAAAGAAGTATAGAAGCAAGCATAATGTAAGTCCCGATATCATAAAGCAAGATGGAATAAATGCACTAATTCTGTTCCATATCAGTTTCCTTCCTTTCAATATGCACGCGTGGGCAGGAAAACTGGTGGGAGAGTAGGAGCAGCGTAGCAAAGGGTAACATAGGTGAAGGTAGATGTAGCGAGTCTTTACTACATTACAAACTCTTTATCAATTTAAGACTTCTTTGGGTAGAATTGTCACCTACTGATATACAATGTAATTTAAATTCATTTGTACCAAACACAGTATAAGAATTATAGTGATGTAATTATAACTGGCATTATTTTTTCCCTATTACAGGGCGATCTTTTCACTGGGGCATTGTTTATACAGCAGTCACTAAAATGGGATTTATATTTATGTATATTTATCCTAGTTACTGTTACTGGAATAATGACCATGACAGGTACGTTCCTAACATGTTTTTTTATTTCGTATTTTTCGACCAAGTACTTTTTGTATTCGCCAAGACTTCCGGTAATTGTATGGGCTTTTCGCTATCCCTTTTCCGTAATTTTCCGCATTGGTAGTCTGTGTGCTACAATATCACTTTAGCCAACCGACACTTAATCTACTAAGCGATATATAGGCTCTTCTTTCACGTCTATAAATGATTACTTCCCTTTATCATGCTGACTAAATAAAGATAACAATCTGCTATTTTTAAAAAGAAAAATTAGCAAAAGTGGACATGAATGTTTGTAAGACTAAGTTCGCATTTAAGCCAAATCGAACCATCTAATTTGTTCACTAATTAAAACATGTATATTGTTCATCACATGCCATTGCGATATTAATTAATTTGACATGTACATGTTAAATTTTGACATCTCGTAGTACTCTATAGATAAATGTACTTATAAAAAAATTATTTTGTATAAATACTCAAACATATTGTATAATTTATCACATTTATATTTTTGGTAATTAACGTGTTACAGGTGGTTTGACCGCTGTTATATATACAGACACCATGCAGGCCATACTGATGGTTGGTGGCGGTCTTACTTTGATGGCAATGAGTACGTATCTATTGTATATCATTATTTATATCATGTATTTTGTTTCTACATGTATATGTTTTTGGGTGTTTTATTTTTTTAATTGTTTCTTGTTTTGTTTGGTTTTAGTTGTTGTTGTTTTTGTTGCAGTTGTTTTGGGAGCGGGGTGACTGGAAATATTTGTACATTGTTTAGTTACAGTAAACTTTGTTTTTTATGTTTTGTCAATTTTAATTACCCATGCTGGCAATCGTTAATTCGTATAAACAATTATATTATACATGTACTGATCAATGTCAATCAATTAAAAAAATATCTAAATTTCTTTTATGTACATTTTGTACACAAGTTCGTGCACAAAGATGCGCAATGACAAAAACACTAAAATGATTATCCATCAAATCAATGTGTAATATTACTTAAATTAAATAGATGCAAGAAAAATAAAGTTTTAAAGAAATTGTTACAAAATAACATCTCTTTAAAAAAAATCATTTATCGATATCTTGATTTCAGGTTTCTCAAAGATCGGTGGGTATGACGGGCTTGCCCGAAAATACCCGAATGCAACTACAAAGATGACGTATAGAATGCCAAACACCACGTGTCACGAGACAGACCCGAACTCGTTCCGGATGTTACGTGAAGCAGACGACGACTATATGCCGTGGTTAGGGTTTCTGTTTGGACAGACGCCGGGGTCTATTTGGTACTGGTGTGCCGATCAGGTATTCTAACGTAAGCTTAATTTCTTGGACCATCTCGTAATACTAGTATTAGTATAAGTCTATATTTTCACTGTACCTATCAGCAAATTTGACATTGAAACAACAAATAATCGCAAAGATAAAAGAAATTGTAGGCTACAGATTTCTAGTTCGTTTGACAAATCACCATCTTCCGTGCCTTTTTACAATTTTGATAAAGTATTGTCCAAAGAGAGTGCTTAGAAAAGCCATTTGTAATGTAAAGCTAAACATCAAGATTATGAGCAAAAAGAACTTTCTCTTACATTTCCTTTCAATGGGTACAGGGGAATCGGTAATTACAACTCATCACAATTGTCCAAGGTTTTTAATTCAATACTATCTTCTTTTAATTCAATCCTATGGTCTTGCAAGGACCTTCTTCATCATGCCGTATGGGAGGTTACAGATATATACAACTTTGTTTAAATTGGCCACGCGTTTCTATAAAGGGGCTGATCTCTACTTTTATTTTATTGATATTTATGTATTTTCTTGTCAGGTGATTGTACAGCGCCTGCTAGCGGCCAAGAGTTTGTCACATGCTCAAGGAGCCACACTGATGGCCGGCTTTATAAAAGTTTTACCATTATTTATGATGGTGATGCCGGGGATGATCAGCAGAGTTCTCTACGCTGGTAATAAAATGTTACATGTATACCTTGTCTACCATAGGAGACCGGTCCATGCCTGTGTAGAATGAAGGCGGGATACAATTCAGAGCTGTAATTAAATCGAGTTGATTAAACAAATACATAATAGTATCAAATTATTATTGTATTTTGTTTGTTTTGATTGACGTTGTGTTAACAGTAAATAAGCATGTTCCTTCAGTGGATTGTATAAGCAAGCCTCTTTGACGCAAGATCATTAAAACCAATTGTATGAAAAGTCACCCCATGTGCACAAAAAGGCCTTTGACTTTACACAGTCACCATTTTATAAATACTTCGCCTTTTACATACTTTATACTGATATTTCATTACGAGTCTTTTGTAATACTAAATGATCAATCTGACTAAAATTCATATCTACTAGGTTATTTCTTGCATGTAGCGTTCATTATGAGCTGATTTTAATGCGTAGCGTTTTGTGGGAGCTGATTTTAATGCGTAGCGTTAATTAGGAGCTGAATTTAATTCGTATCGGTAATTAGGAGCTGATTTTAATGCGTAGCGTTGATTAGGAGTTTATTTGAATGAGTAGCATTAAATATTTAAATGAGATTGACTTAATGATATTCCTATTCATAAGTACTTTCATTGACTTTCTTCAATAAATTTCAAGAGAAACTCAGAAGTAAAATTTAAAGGTTTTAGTTCAATCGTTGTTGTGTGAAATGGATCACTGCTTATCCTTCCGAAAATTTTGAAAGGTTAACCTAAGAAATATATGAAGAAAAACCCGACTTAGCTGCAACTTGTTGTTAGTTCATAGTTCTTTTTTTTCTTTTGTTATTACAGACGAAGTTGCATGTGTTGACCCACAAATATGTAACTATGTTTGTCAAAGCGAGGCTGGATGTAGCAGTATAGCTTATCCGAGGCTTGTCCTCGGTATCATGCCAGAAGGTGGGTTACAGAAACAAGATGTGGTTCAGAGTTTTAAGAATTTGCACTTTGAACATATTTTAGTTTTCCCTTTTCTTGCGTTATCTTAAATGACAATATATTTTGCCAATATTTTTTTTTGTCAAAATAATATGTTTCGGTGTAATTACAAAGAAAAAATACTGCTGAACAACTGAAACTAAATCAATCTTATTTGCAATTTTAGACGACAAAAATCATAGATTATTTGTAAAATTACATTAAAAAGATGTCCAGTCCGTGCAATTTTTCAAGTACATTCATTGTAAATATAACAATTTACTGTATCCTCGTAGTCAGTTGTTGAGATTTTGCAATAATTATGTTTTTTCCTTTTAAACAAATTTAAAAATTGTATTTCTTCTCTTTATTGCTACATCGTGTAGGCAGCAAATTGGATTTCCATAAGACCCTTACCATATATATCTCAATTTTATTTCCGATGTGTTGAATGCAAACTATGAAAAGTTTTGATTGCATACAAACATGTATATTCAGATTTACGTGGTCTTATGTTCAGATTTACGTGATCATATATTCAGGTTTACGTGGTCTTATGATGGCGGTGATGATAGCGGCTCTTATGAGTGACCTTGACTCGATCTTTAACAGCGCCAGTACCCTGTTCACTGTTGATGTTTATACTAAAATAAGAAAGAACTGTTCTCAAAGAGAACAAATGCTTGTGGGCAGGTAAGATTTATATAACATTATATAGAATATTTCATCATTATATAAAGCTATCTTTTTTCGAGGAAGTATTTTGAGGAAAGAAATGTGTTGAACACATCTACGGATGTTTCTAAATTCAAAATATACCATTTTCATGTTTTAATGTTGAATTCTGCTTAAGCCGGAACAAGGGGGCTCGGACTGTACTTTGCACTTGACAGTACCGTCCATGAACAGGCTCAATCAAATCAAGCCTGCAGGATTTTCAGTCTTTCTTTAGGGATTCCTATTTTCTCTTTTTTGAAATATGTATGTGTAGTTCCGTATGTGTAGTTCCGTGAGACGTCTCTAACGTCACGTGTTATTTTTTTGTTGTGTACCCTATGCTCTTTGGAATTGTTATTGGTTATATGAAAAACTCCTGCATCTGAAAAATAATGTTGTATGAGATACAGATTATAGAAAGCATTTCATTTTTATTTCAGACTATTCATACTCATCATGGTGGGCGTTTTCCATAGCTTTTGGGGGTACCAGGGGCCTGAAAGAGACCCCAAGGGGGGTCAATTTTTTAAATTTATATACAAAAAATTTTAAAAAATTTAAATTTGGCCCCCAACCTTTTGCAGCCATTTTTCTGTTTGGCCCAGTACTAGTTCCAAGGGTTTAATAAAACAGGTTATTTATTTCTTTTTCATTATTGTTTTTAATTGAAAACAACCCCAATTTAAAAATTTAAACTACTTTTCCACCATGAGGCCCCTTTTTATAAAAATTTTTAATCTTTAAACCGGGTTTTTTTGGGTTTTTAAAGGACAAAATTTCCCCGGGTAATCTATTTCAAAATTTAACCAAAATTTTTAAAATTTGGTTTTAACCCTAAAAAATTTAAAGTTGGCTAAATGTCCCATTAAATGTGTCCCCCAAAATTTAAAAGCAAAATGAAAACAGATTGCATTTTGATTTTCCATCAAAATCCCTTATTCCTTTTGTTTTATACCCCTTTGTAAATTTAGGGGAAAAAAGAAAAAAACATTGTTCATCTATGTGGCAAATAAGGATTTCTTTTGGAAAACATATGATAACATAAAAAAAGCGAAAAGTTTTTGAAAAATTAAAATGACAGAATTGCGGGGGCATATTGGGCCATTAAAGCTTGTGAAATGTTCAAACAAGCATCCAGTCGTTCACTTGTTGTTATTTATGTCCGTAGCAACTGAAAATATGTGTCTAAATATCATTTTTAATCCATTATTTTGTCTTTTATTAATTGACCATGAGTTTATGGGGATCAATCTATGAAAAAGACTGTAAAGTATAGTATGTTCTAATTTTACAGGGAGCATTCTGGGCGTTGATGTTGGCTTTTCTAACTGGTGTTATACGGATGATCTTGGCATTTGTATACTACAGTAGTGGAGGCTGTGGTAAAGATGACAATCGTCCCGCCATCTTGAAGAACTTTCATTACATGTATTTCTCGTTATTCATCACACTGTTGACTGGTGTGACGGCTATTGTCATCAGTTATTTTACCGGCAGACCTCATGAAAAATACGTAAGTAGGTTCAACACTGGATCGTTTTCAACTTGATTAAGCTTGACATCATTTTACAAATTTAAGTAGGTTCAGCGCCAGGTCGTTTTCAACTTAAATGAAGACTGTCAATATCATTTTACTGCGATACTTATTAGAAATATATACAAGATTTTTCATCTGGTAAACGTCTAGAAAATCCTACTGTATTTATAATGCATACTTGATGTTAACATGTTCAGACACCAGGAAACCATAGTGACAATCCCTAAATAAATTACGTAACAGCAAAACATCCTTATACTTTGACAGTAATATCTCCGGTTAGCGTTACCATTCTTCTGATATTTGTTTTGAAAATCGCAAAAGACACTTGCAAACGACACAGAAAAATAGTTAACTTTATCGGCAAAACCTTACTGATTTAATTTATATGACAAACAAACAAGCGCAAATTTGCTTCATTAGCAGAATTAACTGTGTTAAGGACGTGGCAAACCTCATAAAAACGTTATTCTATAAACCACATTGCAAAAGTCGAAGTTCCGTAACATTGATATATAATGTGGGTTAATTGCTTTGTTGTGTCTGTTGTTTTGCTCGAATTGTCAATCTTATTGCTTTGTCATAATATCAATATATCAGTATCTTTCTACACCTGAGACTAAATTCTTAATAATTACAATTTACCTGTTTAATATATCTTGAGTAAAACGGTACGTTTTTGTTCATTTTCATCTTTATATATGCAAATAAGGTCATGAAAAATTCATAAACAGTTTCTTGTCTAAAAATGCAAATGAATTTGTTTGATAATATGTAAATCGTCTTAATTAGAGATCGTCTTAATTAGAGATTCCATACATTTAATAGGGATATATGTAACAGCTTATATGCACGTTATATAATTGACGAAAGTACACATGAAACAAATGTTTTCCATAAGAATTGTATAAATCACAGAAAAGTATAGGAAACTATTTTTTTTATAAATAATCATATCTACACATATTCTTATTTTCACGTAAGTTCATATACCAGGTTAAAACGATTCAAAAGTAATTATTCTACGTTTTCATATAATTTTGTTCTATATTTACGTTTTGATTTTTTCAATCAAGTATTATAAATATGCATTAATTTGATAAAAATATTGTTGTTTGTTAAATACTAACAAAGGTTTCAAAATTTATTTGCTATCGACATGTAAAATGTCTTTGGCCATTTACGTAAAATATGTAAGTAGTATAGGGGTCTCTTTACCCCCAAGACTGCGCATGCGCGGCGGCCATTTTGTTTTCTATTAATAGTAACACATTTACATAGAAGAAATGACCTTACTACACATGCGCGGCGGCCGTGTTGAATAACAGACGCGCGGCGCCATATTTGATTCTATATTTAGAATAACATTATCGTTCTATTTTTAGAATGACATCATCACGTTATAAATAGAAACGTGAATAAATAATATCTCCCGGAAGTATACGGAGCTGACTCGTATACCCGATCTTAGGGCTTGAATCGCGGACATTGAAGGTCAGGTCCTCGGCCCAAAACGGAGAGATAAATATCCTCATTTATAAAAGAAATGTCTGTAAGTAAATACCTGCTTAACATTTTAATTAATAAAAGCAAATAAACTAGAATTAAAAAAAAATACAAATAGCTTATGTTTTTTAATATGGTCAAAATAAATAATATACATTGAATAAAAATATTACTTGTTTACTCCTCGGCGGTCCGAAACCAAATGACACAAATCATCAGTGTATTATTTCTAAATGCTCTGATCACGAGTGTAAAGTCGCCACAATGTATGGCGTGTGTTTATTTAGGGACGGAAACACTAACAATGGCCTATTGAAATGTTAAAGTTAATCCCTTTAAAGTAGCCACTTGGTCTGGCGTATGTTTATTTAGGGACGGATATGCGGACAATGCTCCATTTAACTGTCAAAGTGTATCCGTCTAAAGTAAAAGCGGGTAAGCAATAAGCTATTGAAGTGTCAGTTTACCACTGGGGCATAATTTTAAACATATTTTGGAAAAGAAATGCCAACATGTTTTGAAAACTGATCATCACGAATGTGCAAAATTATAAAAACCAACTATTATTAATGGTAACTAAAACCGAACAAAAATACAACAGAAAAAGCGTTTTTCGTCTTTTGTGCAACACTTTACGATATCGATTTTCAAGATATTTGTTTCATTTGATAGACCTAACCAAATGCTTCTAAATAAACCCTAGGTTCTCGATTCGATTTTTAGCCGTTCTCGAGTTATGGCCCTTTAGCGATTTTTAAACCAATTTTTCAAAGACCATAAAACCCTGAAATGTATATACCGTTTGAAAGATCTCTGCGAGTAGATACAGAAAATGTATTATTATATGGATCTATCTCTTACCGTTTCTGAGATAGGAGAGTTTGAATATGGCAGACAAAATCACTCATGCGGAAAAACGCGCATAACTTTTTCGTTTATGAACGAAACATAGTCTTGCTTGGTATCAAATTGAAGGTCTTGACGAGTACATTTTACTTACGCGATCAAACCGGATGTTTAGTCACTCGTGCGTGAAAAATATATATTTTGGTTACTAGAGCAACCGAATACGATATGATTTTTAATTGTTGACTACCAATTGAAAGAACAGTTCAATACCTTTAATTTACACCCCCATTGTCGATTCGATTTTCAACGCTTACAGGGTTATTATGTAACAGCGATTTTTAAACCCAAATTTTCAAAGTTTACAAAACCCTTCAATTGATATACCGTTAAAAAGATCTCGACGAGTAGATTCAGAAAATGTATAGGTTTATGGGTCTATCATTATGAGTTACTGAGATATTACAGATATAGACTTAGTGTATTTTAACCACCGATGTAAGATAAAGCGTTATTGCACTAAATTGTTTGAAAATATTCAAATGAGTGTGGCGTCCTTATCTATGGATCGATTTTATCCATCTTGGTATCAAATTAAAGGTATTTAAGAGTACTGTCAGACGCTGTTGATAGTAAAGTTCATTTACTTCTTTTACTCCATTTATTACGATTAACCGTAGCGATTCATTCATTGCCGATTAAGATAGCGAGGAGTAAAGGCTGGGGGTAAGCTTATTTTAGTTATTTTAATGATTTTTACGCATGATTGATTTCACTTGCGGTTTGTTAGTTCCAGCTTGTAGCATTAGTCAAGACCTTTCGTTTGATATGCAACATGCCCATGTTATGTCCAGAAATAAGCGGAGAATTGTCATTTAACGCATGAGTGATTTTGACTTCCAGTATGAACTTTACTTTTTCGTTTATGAACGAAACATAGTTTCCTTGTTGATCTTGTTTTTCATATTTTACTATCAACAGCGTCTGAAAGTACTCTTAAATACCTTTAATTTGATACCAAGATGGATAAAATCGACCCATAAATAAGGACACCACACTCATTTGAATATTTTCAAACAATTTAGTGCAATAATGCTTTATCTTACATCGGTGGTTAAAATACACTAAGTCTATATCTGTAATATCTCAGTAACTCATAATGATAGACCTATAAACCTATACTTTTTCTGAATCTACTCGTCGAGATCTTTTTAACGGTATATAAATTGAAGGGTTTTGTAAACTTTGAAAATTTGGGTCTAAAAATCGCTGTTACGTAATAACTGTGTAAGCGTTGAAAATCGAATCGACAATGGGGGTGTAAATTAAAGGTATTGAACTGTTCTTTCAATTGGTAGTCAACAATTAGAAATCATATCGTATTCGGTTGCTCTAGTAACCAAAATATATATTTTTTACGCACGAGTGACTTAACATCCGGTTTGATCGCGTAAGTAAAATGTACTCGTCGAGACATTCAATTTGATACCAAACAAGACTATGTGAAAAAAGTTATGCGCGTTTTTCCGCATGATTGATTTTGTCTGCCATATTCAAACTCTCCTATCTCAGAAACGGTAAGAGATAGATCCATATAATAATACATTTTCTGTATCTACTCGCAGAGATCTTTCAAACAGTATATACATTTCAGGGTTTTATGGTCTTTGAAAAATTGGTTTAAAAATCGCTAAAGGGCCATAACCCGAGAACGGCTAAAAATCGAATCGAGAACCTAGGGTTTATTTAGAAGCATTTGGTTAGGTCTATCAAATGAAAAAAATATCTTGAAAATCGATATCGTGAAGTGTTGCACAAAAGACGAAAAACGCGTTTTCTGTTGTATTTTTGTTCGGTTTTAGTTTCCATTAATAATAGTTGGTTTTTATAATTTTGCACATTCGTGATGATCAGTTTTCAAAACATGTTGGCATTTCTTTTCCAAAATATGTTTAAAATTATGCCCCAGTGGTAAACTGACACTTTAATAGCTTATTGCTTACCCGCTTTTACTTTAGACGGATAAACTTTGACAGTTAAATGGAGCATTGTTCGCATATCCGTCCCTAAATAAACATACGCCAGACCAAGTGGCTACTTTAAAAGGATTAACTTTAACATTTAAATAGACGATTGTTAGTGTTTCCGTCCCTAAATAAACACACGCCATACATTGTGGCGACTTTACACTCGTGATCAGAGCATTTAGAAATAATACACTGATGATTTGTGTCATTGGTTTCGGACCGCCGAGGAGTAAAAAAGTAATATTTTTATTCAATGTATATTATTTATTTTGACCATATTAAAAAACATAAGCTATTTGTATTTTTTTTTAATTCTAGTTTATTTGCTTTTATTAATTAAAAATGTTAAGCAGGTATTTATTTACATACATTTCTTTTATAAATGAGGATATTTATCTCTCCGTCTTGGGCCGAGCACCTGACCTTCAATGTTCGCGATTCAAGCCCTTAGATCGGGTATACGAGTCAGCTCCGTATACTTCCGGGAGATATTATTTATTCACGTTTCTATTTATAACGTGATGATGTCATTCCAAAAATAGAACGATAATGTTATTCTAAAATCTAAATATAGAATCAAATATGTCGCCGCGCGTCTGTTATTCAACACGGCCGCCGCGCATGTGTAGTAAGGTCATTTCTTCTATGTAAATGTGTTACTATTAATAGAAAACAAAATGGCCGCCGCGCATGCGCAGTCTTGGGGGTAAAGAGACCCCTATACTACTTATGTATAAAGGTTGTGTCATTATTTTAAAGATACACAACTTTTAAAAAAACAAACATTTTTTTCTTGTTAAGTTTTTACACGTACCCACATTTTGGGAGGAAAAAAACCCCCGTTTCAAGAAAAAGCGGGGAAACCCTTTACAAAACAATTAAAAAATAAAGGGGAAAAGGTTTCACAAAAACTTTCAGCAAAAGGGGGATTAAAAAACATTTCACGGTTCTCCGTGGAGGAAAAACCACTACAGGGGCCCGAAAATTTATTTAAACCCGAAGAAGATAAAGGGTTTTACACCTATATTATATCTAAAATTTTTTAAGGCAGAAAAATTTTAAAAATTTGAACTTGAATTTTAGTTTTAAAACCCGTATTTAATCCCCGTTTTCAATTTTATTAACTAGACTTTTTTAGTTTTTTCCTTTTTTGAAAAAACTTTCTTTTATTTTATTTGAGGGGCAAAGGTTTTTTTTTAAACAAAACAGTCAGTCTTTTAATTATTTTAAAAGATTTACTATTTGGGATTTTTTTATCCTTTTTAAAAGCAATTATTAAATATTTAATTCTTGCTTTGCAGAGATGCATTGCGCGGGAAAAAGGCGGCTGAATTATGTGTGTGGAATCACAAACGAGGTCCGACGAAGAAAAGGAACGGCAACTGCGGTTACACATGGAGAAAGTTGCGTGCCTTAAACAAAAACAAATACGCCAAAATAGGCCTAAAATTTGGTTTTAGTGACCCAATTTTATCACTCGGTGTTTTTCTTGTATATATTTTGGTCCTTTTGGAAATAATGAACCCTGAGCATTGCTGGTGTTTTCAAGTTGTATTTGACACAAAATATCAAAACTCAATGTAATTCAGAAACTAGCCTAGTGGAGTTATTGAGAACTATTTACATTTTATATTTGAAATATGCAAAATTTGTAGAATTTGTAATGTATCTCTTCAAAACAGTTTTCGTCAACAAAAAAATATCAGGATTAAGTAGTACAATATGTCTAAATATGTATTAATATTGATATTCAATGATTGATATAAAATTATTGCAGAATACAAGTGTGATAATAAGACCTAATCAAAACCACAGGCAATCGGTGCGTGGCTTGGATAGTATACATGTACATGACCACGCCCACTTATTTTTGTAAATATATTTTTTTCACTAATAAAATATTTTTTTATTCAAAATGTTTTTTAAATATCTTATTTTCATTAAATATACAAAGGAAATTTGTTTTTAAAAATGTCATTCCATATATACTATAAATATAGTAAAGGTAGAAAGGTTTCGCCAGCGGACCTATCACCAGGCCTTATGTTACCTCCCAGTTCTTTTTGTAAATTGTCAACCCAATTTTTCACCAAATTAAAGTGCAAATCTACGCAGAAATAATTTTTCTTTCGAAACCATGTACAATATTAGAAAGTTGGAATGACAAAGAAATGGAATTTTAAAGCGAAAAATGCACTTTTTTGTCTAGGTCGGCCATCGCTTGACCGAACTGAAAGTAGACGATTTTGAACATAAATCGATCATTTTCTTAATAACAAACTAATGTCAGTGCATGCAAACAGTTGAAACAGACAAGGATGCTATAATACTATCGCTTACCCCTCCAAATTTAATCCAAAACGTCTGTAGGTAGGCATTTCAGTAGTTATTTGCACTAACTTTTTAAATTTCCTGACATTACATGTATACAAATGCTGACCCGGATGTACCTGATGCGTACCTCTTTTCGCATAATAAAGATTGAGCGAAGCTGGGTACCAGCGGGAACCGAGCATGCGTACTTTGAATATCCGGATCAGGATTTTTATACATGTACAATGTCGGGAAATTTAAAAAGTTATTGCAAATAACTACTGAAAGTGTGTACCTATAGACGTTTTGGATTAACTTTGGACCGGTAAGCAATAGTATTATAGCTTCCTTTTCTGTATCAACTGTTTGCATGCACTGACATTAGTTTGTTATTAAGAAAAAGATCGATTTTTGTTCAAAATCGTCTACTTTCAGTTCGGTCAAGCGATGGCCGACCTAGACAAAAAGTGCATTTTCGCTTTGAAATTCCATCTTTTGTCATACCAACTTGTCTAATATTGTACATGTTTCGAAAGAGAAATCATTTCTGCGTAGATTGCACTTTATTTGGTGAAAATTGGTTGCCAATTTACAAAGATCTGGGAGGTAACATAAGGCCTGGTGGTAGGTCCGCTGGCGAACCTTTCTACCTTTACTATATTTCTAGTATATATGGATGACATTTTTAAAAACAAATTTCCTTTGTATATTTATTGAAAATAAGATATTTTAAAAACATTTTGAATAAAAAAATATTTTATTAGTGAAAAAAATATATTTACAAAAGTAAGTGGGCGTGGTCATGTACATGTATACTATCCAAGCCACGCACCGATTGCCTGTGATCAAAACTGCAATATCAGTATTTTGACACTTTTGGGGTGTCCATATATATATGATTGCGTTTTTTTCCCTCAAAAAATAACTTTACGTGCCGCTCATGTGAATTGGTTGTGATCTTCGTCCATTGGTAGAAAGTTGCAAAATTCGAACGGCAAAGGCAATCTTTATATGATAAAACAAAAGACAAATTCAGTTATTTCTTAACGTGTGACATAACACCAGATATTTCAGAGGCGGGCTGCATCATTAGCTTTCATGTTATTAACCTCTCAGGTCATGTTGCTTCATATGGGAAAGTTATTTTTTACATACATATCAAATGTTCACATATATGTAATTCTATTAAAGATAAGCTCGATAATAACGTTTGATGTTTTTTTCTTGCTATATTCTTTTTAAAATCATTCATGTACAATTGTTTTTAGTGCATTACCTGGTCCAAGATTTGAAAATCAGGATCAAAATCAACAAGTGTTGGTGCGACAGCGCTCAACTATTCCAAGAGCTTGATAGTAAAGCAAGAGCCTAGATAATGTAGAATTTTCATTTTTTTTCTCTATATGGCACTACAGGTAAGTTAAAAGATCGGTTACGACTAGGTTGTTATGGAAATTCAAGGCTGACTTGAACAAGATAATAGCACCTTCACAACAAAGACGATTTATTTTCCAAGAATTTCAAAGAATTTTTCTATGGGATTCAAAGAATTTTTCCATGGGATTCAATCAAAGAATTATTCCATGGAATTCAAAGATTTCTTTTAAGTAATTCAGTTGAAGAATTATTCCATGGAATTCAAAGATTTCTTTTAAGGAATTCAGTCGAAGAATTATTCCATGGAATTCAAAGATTTCTTTTAAGAAATTCAGTCGAAGAATTATTCTTAAGAACCCAATCAAACAATCATGAAACAGTGGTGGGTTTAGAAGTATAAAAACATTTTACAACAAGAAGTTTTAGATGAGATTTCTTTATTCATCACAAATGCAAGTTGCATATTTTACATACATAACATAATAATTATGTAACATATATATATGCATTTATGACTCTAAACTTTCAAACTGTTAAGTAATGAATATGTTATTGAAATGAAAAATACATTCAATAACATTTTTTAAATAAAATAACCATACATGTACATATAAAATAACTCTGAACAAGAAAATACAACCATTATCACAGAAAATATGGACGTTTACAAAAAATAACAAAAATACTAAATGTTAATGTGAGTGTTTAATAAAGTTTATTAGATAAAGGACAACATTATTTCAATAAGTTACAGAATTATCATCTAACAGATAGTAATTTTTATAAGATACAAGCTTTTCTATTCAAATTTCACACATTTGAGCAATGTTAGGTTCCAATGTTATTATGTGTTAATGTTGCTTAAACTTCTAAAATAAAATTAAAAGCCAAGTTATAGCTATAGGCTTTTACATTTAACATTTAGCACATTTTATTATAACTTTGCTCCACATATATACATGTATATATTTAAATAAGTAATACTAATATATGTTTTAATGTTGACCTTCAATTTAACATAGAACAAATTGTGATTGAATTTTTGCACTGTTTGAATGATCATATCTAAATGTTTAAAATCACAGTTTTTGTTATCACATTTTCACACAAGCAAACGAAATAAATAGATAGCTGTTTAACTTTCCCAGTTTATCTTTATTAATGTTTTTAAATCATCATTATATATTGCTGTCAAAACTTTCCAAGAACTTTGAAGTCAATTGAAGATTTTTCCCAAGGAATACAATTAATTTTTTTTTTCCAAAGACTCCAAATAAAAACTTTTTACTGGAAATCCAGTCAAAGAATATTTTTCAAATCAATCAAATAAAGAGCTGTTAAAGCTATATTAAAGTTAAAAGGGACATTATGTAATCTGTATTTGTGATTAAGCCTCAGTAACATCCGGGGTCTGTGGTGGTGGTTTATAGAAAGGATCTTTAGGTAACATGATATCTGTTATCTTCTGAAGTAACTCATGGCTGGATCGTACCTTGTTTTTCTGCAAAAGAAAAATTAAATAAATTCAACAATTACTTTACTAAAACTGTTATCCGCAATCAAATAAAATTTGTTTGTTTGTTAGATTGGGTTCCATGATAACCGCCGTATGAACACATCTGCGGATGTTTCTAAATTCAAAATTTTACTATTTCACGTATAAATGTTGAATTCTGCTTGGGCCGGTGCTGGGGGCGTGGACGGTAACTTGCATTTTCCAGTACCGTCCATGAACAGGCTCAATCAAACCGAGCCTGCAACATTTTCAATTTTGCCGTGTTGGGCTTTCTTCAGGGGATTCTGTATTTTTCTATTTCATGTCAAACCGACACAATATAATATAGGTCATTTGGTGATATTCCAGCTTTACTGGTGGAGGAAGACCTCCGGTGCCCTTCCATGAATTATTTCAGGCACAAACAGGCACCTGAGTAGAACCACTGACGTTTTGTAAGCTAGCTGGATAGCTTCCTCACATGAAATATCCAAAGTCCCTGTTGGGATTCGAACCCACTGCGGTGAGGGCAAGAGATTTGAAGTCAACGACCTTAACCACTTGGCCACTGACGCCCTAGAAAATAACATGAATCAATAACAATACAAGCCCATGTTAACTTACCCCGACTAATAATCTCATAAGCCCAGTTCCACTACTTTTGTTTTCCATACACAATGTTGTTTGATACTGCATGGCCTTTAGTAGGGCCTCCAGGCCCGTCTCGCCTATCTCATTTCCTGTAATATTTTAAACCTTCAATTTTATATATAGAATATTCAACAAGTTCAAAAATTTAGAAATGAAGCTACATAAATATATAGTGTAGGTTTAATACTTAATTTATTGAACAAGTTGAATAAAATTATATGATGCCAGCCTCTAAGCGAGCATAATATTTCATTCAACGGGTTTAACAAATTTAGTAATGAAGTTATAAACGAAATATAATATTCTATTTATAACATATCAAAAGTAGAAAAGTTTACAGTAAAAATGATTTTTTTTCATTGTTTGATTAAAGGTATTCCATGTTATCCTAAATCACAAAATAACATAGCTCATTTAAGACCACAATGGAAATATAAGCTTATTCTAACTCTTCTATTTTGTGTGTGTAATTCTTGAATTAAATATGTATAATGTTTCTTTCAATATGGCTAAAAATTACTAATTCATACAATTTGTCTTAAATTTTATGTATTTATTTTATGATGTTGCCATGCTAACTCATTGCATATCAATCAATCAATCAATTATTGATGTGTTGTGTTTAATGACATAAAAATCCTTGTCTTGTCAAAAAGCAAATTTTTAGCATTAATGGCAGAGAAAGGCACATTTGTGGAATCAGAAAACAAGAATTAAGTGATTTGATGTAAGAAATTTTCTTGAGTCAACCACGATGTTTATTAAAACCCAAGATATTCATAATCAGTAATTCAACTCAGACCTACAAATATTAAGTAACAGAGCATTTATATGATTGAAATTAACATTAAAGTTGAATACATACGTGAGAGATTGAGGTTAATGAGAACCCTGTTACCAGCCACCCACAGTTGACCATCTATATAATCAGCACCTTCTAACAGTGGATTTATAAAGTCAGGACTGTCAGCTGGCTGAAATATAAACAGTTATAATAATAAGACTGTTCTGTTATAATACAAATTATGTTCAACTTTTATTTCACAACTAGATGTTTGCCAAAGTTTGTATGAAAATTAAAAAAAATGTTCATAAACAATGTTTAATACAAGTATACAAATATCTACTACTTGTTGTTTATTGTATTCCAAACCATAATAGGTACCCAATTACATGTATGTTATAACAATAGGTGTCTAGACAGTGGGCTAGACTATTCTCAGTGCTTGACAGTAAGTAAAAGGGAATAACTCTGTAAAAAGGTGACTCAGAGTTGTGTGACCTGTGCTCATCAAGTTTGATAATCACCATGTAAGATGATCGAAGTAAACAAGTAGGCGAAGTTTTAACCCATTACCTACAGTTGTTTTGGAGATATCAATTTGCATGTAAAAACTTAACCAAAGAGTGACGGCAAAGCCTCCATATACCCTTACACGCCCGGCAAACTGTCGCTCCACTTCAAAATTGTGGTGTACGGTAAAACGAGCGAACGGCATTTCCGAGATAGAGTGGAAGGCCGATTTAAACGCCTAATTGTAAGTATTCGTGTTTATGTTTTTGTCTTGTTATTCATTAAAGTTGTATTTTTTTTCGAAAAACGGAAAAATGTGGGCTCCGTGTAGGATTGATTTAGGCTTCCAATGATCTAAGCTGTTACAAAAAAGAAAATTATATTAAGCCCGGGAGAAACTTTTCTCCCTGACGAAGCGAACGATGATTTGTAGAATATTGAAACTTCCCAACCAGAGAAATGCCATACCTTCGGATTTCTTGAAAAAGTGTATTAGTAAATTATCAACTCGTAATAAGAAACTTGTCCTTCGTGCACAAATAAATTACTCCTGAAGGATTTCTTAAATTTGTAAACCGATATTTTTCGAAAGTAGTGGAGCGAAAGGGCGAGAGATGGAGCAAAAGGTTTGATGTTGAGCGCAAGGCGATATTAATTTGACGTATTAGGAGGAGCGTAGTCTATGATTTTTTACATATTAAAGCTATTGAAGTTAAAATAGATGTGATCAAGTGTTCAGACCGATATATATACCTTTAAAAGAGAACTAATAAAGTGTGATATCATTTCAACGAGCTATAGCGTAATACATCAAATCGCGAAGGTGTCACCTATTGCTGCCGTGTAGATTCCTTTATTTATGTTCAAATTTGGATGAGGCCCGACCATTGAATCATACACATGTATCATGATTTTTAACACGGTTATGTACATTTAAAAACGTGTGTCCGTGCAAATGCGACAAAGTCGAATATTTTTAGTTCTACTGCGAACAAATGTTTCCGAGCAGGTACGTGTAACTCGATTGTTCACGCCAAAATGTTATGTTTTTCGAAAAGTTAGATATTCAAGGTGCAGAACAGAAACAAAATTATGCAATGCTTAGAACACATTAAATTAAATGGATCACTACTACCGAGTTCAGTTCACAATGACTTTCTGTAATTAATAGCTCTAACGTACCTGTTCAGAGCAAAAACACAAATAAGCAACGATTTCATGAATTTGTAAGGTGGGGAATCGCTATGAAAATGGTTGACAAGGTGTCAGTCGTTATAAGGATATAACCCGTGTTCTCGTTAAATGCTAAATAAGGGAGGAAGTATCTTGAAACATAACGGGAACACGTGTTATATCCTTATAACAACTGGCACCTTGCCAACCATTTTCATAGTGATTCCCCACCTTACAAATTTATGAAAACGTGACTTATTTGTGTTTTGCTCAGAACAGGTACGTTACAGCTACAAAAAGTCATTGTGAACTGAACTCGGTAGTAGTGATCCATTTAATTTAATGTGTTCCATGCATTGCATACTTTTGTTTCTGATCTGCACCTTGAATATCTAACTTTTCGAAAAACATAACATTTTGGCGTGAACAATCGAGTTACACGTACCTGCTCGGAAGCTTTTGTTCGCGGTAGAACTAAAAAATATTCGCTTTGTCGCATTTGCACGTTCAAACGTTTTTAAATGTAAATAACTGTGTCAAAAATCATGATTGACCTCGAATAAGTGGCATCCTGTATTATGCAATGCATTAATGTGTATGATTCAATGGTCGGGCCTCATCCAAATTTGAACATAAATAATGGAATCTACACGGCAGCCATAGGTGACACCTTCGCGATTACAGTTATTACGCTATAGTCGTTGAAAGGATATCACACTTTATTAGTTCTCTTTTAAAGGTATATATATCGTTCTGAACACTTGATCACGTCTATATTAACTTCAATAGCTTTTATATGTAAAAAATGCATTGACTACGCTCCTCCTAAAACGTCAAATTAGTATCGCCTTGCGCTCAACATCAAACCTTTTGCTCCATCTCTCGCCCTTTCGCTCCACTACTTTCGAAAAATATCGATTTACAAATTTAAGAAATCTTTCAGGAGTAATTTATTTTGCACGAAAGACAAGTTCTTATTACGGTTGATAATTTACTAATACACTTTTTCAAGAAATCCGAAAGGTATGGCATTTCTCTGGTTGGGAAGTTCAATATTCTACAAATCATCGTTCGCTTCGTCAGGGAGAAAAAGTTCTCCCCGGGCTTAATATAATTTTCTTTTTGTAACAGCTTAGATCATTGGAAGCTAAATCAATCCTACACGGAACCACATTTTCCGTTTTTTTCGAAAAAAAAAAAAAAAAAACTTAAATAAATAACAAAACAAAAACATAAAACATTACTTACAATTAGGCGTTTAAATCGGCCTTCCGCTCTATCTCGGAAATGCCGTTCGCTCGTTTTACCGTACACCACAATTTTGAAGTGGAGCGACAGTTTGCCGGGCGTGCCTTACAACATGGAGTGTAAAACAGCTCTCCGTATTCTTCAAAAAGTCGAGCTAAAAGTGGATGCACAACACCTTTTGTGTGTGTGTGTGTGTTGTATTGTGACAATATATCTGCTTTGAAAACATAACATCTTCACCTCAGTAACATCCTTCTGAATTTAAAAGAAGTTAACCAGTTATTGCACTAAGGTGAAGAAATAGTCACTTTAGTTGACATCAACTCACCTCTGTTTCTTGAGTAGGTTTACCACCTTTTTCTTTACCTTTTGCCTTATTGCCTTTACCTTTAGCATCTGCAGCCAGAGAAGCTAGAAAGTAACAAAATAATGGGATATTAAAATATGTTTCCATAGCACCAACTTAACCTGTGTATTATATAAATACTGTACATAATTTTAATTAAAGTGTTTTTTTTTTTCTTATCTGATTTTCTTTACATTATAACTTTAATATTCCAACTACAATAATATTCTTAATATTTAAATCCTATACTAATTACTGACTGAATATTCCTAATTAAAAATATGAAAATAATTATGATAATATTTAAAATATTTATTTAAAATAAATGCTTATGAAAGAATAGTCTTTTATTTACATCAACAAGAAATTTATTGTTTAATTAATGTAGATAAATAATGTTAAATTGTAATTATTAAGAAATATCTTTTACTGATTGAAAGAGCTATTGGTAATTGACAGGAAAAAAGGCTACATGTCTTTTTATCATTCATATAGATACTATACATGTATATTCATAATTAAGGCCTCTCTGGTAGATGTGGTTATATCGCATACTAATAGAAAAATTATAAATTGCTGATAAACAAGAAATACTTGAAGTTTGTTTATGCATTGATAAAAAACACATATGTCTAGGGATAATTTGATAATAAAAGATAAATTTTGTATAAAGATCAGTTTTGTATATAAATTGTTAAAGTTGTAAAGTTATGTTTTTTTATAAGAAACATTTCAAAATAAGAAATATTATTGTACATTATACATTCTATTAAACATATTATAAAGTTCTTATATTGAATATCTTAATTTTACAAATAAATAATGTGTAATTTAATAAACTTTATATTTTTTACTTTAGTCACCTTTTGATTTAATACGAATAACTGCAAAAAGATGTACAATAAAAAGTTGTTAATTAATTAGAAAACAATTGAACCAAAATATTTCATGAACCATTGCTGACTTCTTTAATTTGACTAAAAATTAATTAATAATATCCAATTTAAACTGTCAATGATAAACAGAGATAAATTATAAATGCAAATTTGAACAATTTTAACCCTTCTCTCCCTTCATGTCTGTAATGGACACATCCTGCTTTGTATTTGGAACTGTCCATTATGATACTTAAGGGAAGTCTAGTATTAAAATACTAAAGTCAATATCTGAACCCACAGTAAACATCAGCAGACATTTTCACAAAAAATCTTACGATTTATCTTAAGTTTTTCACTTACGATAATCGTAAGTTAAGTCTTAAGTCATTTTCACAAAGCCACTCGTAAGTTAAAATTTTATCTTAAGATAAAAAAAAAACTTACGATAAATCTTACGACAAAACATCCCTAGCAACGTTCATTTGATAGTGATGTGCATGCTCTATATTTTATTCTGGTTTTAAAATCAAGTAATCAAGAGCTTGAAATATCTATTGAACACAATCAAATTTCAATAAGAACAAAAAAAACTAGAGGATGCTTTTGTAAAAAAGCGCATGTCTCCCCCACTGCACTGTGACCTTGACCTTTACCCC